AACAGTTTTCCCCGTGAACAATCTGGCGACCACAGTGGGAGCCACCGATCTCGCTGTCGAGATCGGAGCGTCGCAGCCGCGGATCGAGATCCCGGTCGTGGAGGAGGTCGAGTACGAGTTCGACCAAGCCAAGTTCGAGGAGTACGTGTCCTCGTCCGGATCTACCTCCCCCCGCAAGTCCAAGAAGTTCTCCTCCGGGAGAAAAGCTCGTTTGTTTGAAGCTGCTCGGGAAGCCCACGAAGCTCTCAACCCAACTGACGGCAAAGTTGCGTCAAAGGAAATTCCACCGACCTCCAATCAGGTCAACCCAACTCCCGCCAACGCCTCCACTGTTCAGGGCGTTGTGACTCTCTCAAAGAGAGCCCGCCAGAGGCGTCGTCAACGCCTTGCGCGGCAACTCGCTAAGGCGATGGAGTCTACGGACGGATTCCGCTACAACGCGGAGTTGAAGAACAGAAGAGGCAACAAACTTCGCCTGATCGAATTCGTATTCGATCTCTTCATTGATGATGATCTTGATCGGTTGCGACACCGCGGTCTCGGCAGCGAGACCGCTGGCTCCCCCTGTGGTCGCCAGCTTGTTTGGTTCAAAAGTCGCTGTTGTGGAATTCATTATAACTTTATTCGATTACAACAAATTCGAAAGAATAATCTTTTTATAAGACTTTTTCTACACAACGAAACAAAAATTACAACTCTTGAGAAACAAACACGAAAATCGTCTATCAATTCTCGTTTTCGTGGGACTTTGCCTGTGCCGGGAACGCTTTAGTTCGTGGACCGCCGATTCACAGATCGTGAAGAGGGGGCTTATGATTCTAACTTCGTTATCGAAGTAGAAATTGAAACGATATCTTATCGAAGTAAGATAGTCGTTCTTCTTAAAATCAAGTCGAAGCTTAATTTCAAGGCGTTGCAAGAAAAGAACTCAAATCTCTGCTCTCTCTGCTCTGGAATGCTCTAAAAAATGCTCGATCCTCGTCAGAAGTGACCCTAGGGGGGTATTTATAGCCTCAAGGGTCAGTAACTGCAAAAACTTAACAATCGAAGAAGTCAGTACGGCGAGACAGTGTTTACTGTCTCGCTGGGCGAGACAGCGTTTGCTGTCTCGACCCGCGAGACAGTAAATTTGCTGTCTCGCTCAGCGAGACAGTAAATGCTGTCTCGGAAAATGGCAGTTTCTCGCTGTAACTGTTCTCTCACGTTTCAAACTCCGTTATTTTGGCAGTTATCCACGTGATTTTCGCCCATGATGTTTCCCACGTCCCTTGGCAGTTAATGGACACGTGTAGGGCAGTTACAAATGTAGTTTTGACTATTTCAACACTGT